TATAACATAAAAATTGATCTTCTGAAGATCTTTTGTTTTGTTGATTTCCCTCTTTTCTATTGCACCTAGCCCATATTGTCTCACTTAGTCATCTTTTTTTAAATGCCGTTACTATGCCATCGCTTCCACCTTGATTTGATTCGTGCTTGGATATAAATTTGGATCAAAATAAAAATTTAAATAATGCCACTGTAACTTTGCCCCCTTTACCTGTTAAAACTCGTTGGAATTCCTGGTTTAGTCAAGCTCAAAATATGAAGATTAGGTATAATACGTCTTGTTTTTTCAATATAGTAATTTATATTTGACAAATATTTTTGCGAAGCTAAATAAAATTTTTTATACAGTATATATTGAAATTTAAAATATATATATACTATTTATATATTACCGCAAAATTCACAAATCTAACGGTGATTACAGCAGAGTTTTGTAGTTAGAGTATCAACCCCCGGACACTCTAGTTGGTACCAAATGCATTAGAGAACAATAAGAAAAATTGCATTGATGAAGATCAGAAATACTGCATATTTGGTAAAGTTTGAGAGGTATTGCATTTAACGGGGTTGCATTTAGGGAGGTCGAAAATCAAAAATATTGAGGGAATTTTGCCATTGATAATCAGATTTTACAATATTTGGCGCAAACATATAACAAACCAGTTTTTTGTTACAAATTTAAATTAACAATATATACCACAAATACTGTATAAATAATCTGTATGAGGGATTTTGCCGATATAGCAATACACAATCAAAATTTTTTTTAATTGTGTTTTCAGATGGTTGATTTTTTAATATAAATACACCTACCAAAAGTCTTCTCTCAAGAAAAAAAAAAAACGCAAATACTAAAATATAATTCAATAAAACCAAATAACAAATTTCATATTCAAACTTCATTCAACCTTAAAAATTTTCCAAATGTGCGACGATTGTAAATGCGGTTCTTCTTGCCAGTGCGGTAACTGCGCTTGCACAAAAAATACTCAACAACATTTCGTCGATAAACAGATCGAAACAGACCCTAGCTGTGGTGTCAGGTAATTATTGCAAAAAAAGAGGTTTGATTTGATTAAGATTAACTATCGTACTAATAACCCTTGTATTTTCTTTCTACAGTACCTGCAACTGCGGAGAAAATTGCAGCTGTACACAAGGGGGTTGCAAATGTTAATTCTCTTATAACCACGCATTATATTTTATATTGTAAAGCATTATTATTCGGTTAGGCCTCAGATCTAAGTCCTTTTCATGTTTAAATTGTTATTATTTTTTATTATTATTTGAACGCTCTATGTTAAAGTAATGTAGTTACAGAATAACTTTTAGTTCAATAAATATTATAAATATCGATTTATTGTTAACTTTCGTCTGTAAAAATGAATTTCTATAATGTTTACTGTTAGTGTGAAATTTTTAGATTTCTTTGTGATAGATAATTATTAAAGAGTTAGTAATTTGAAAACATATTGTATCTCGCGCGAGGTAAACTATTCGATTAAGAAATTTTAATGAAATTTCTAGCGTATAATCTAAAATGAATTCTTGCAAATATCACAGCTTTTACTATACTTTGTTATTAATTATTCGATGGTTGATTATTCGATAAATTTGTAAAGGTCAATCCATCAATCATATTAATAAAACACGATCGAAAGAGATTTCAATATAATAAAAGTATAATAAAGCTATAATTATATATATCCCTGATAAGAATTCTCATTAAATTATTGTAATAAAATTTTGCTTTTATAATTCTAAACTTAAATGCTAAAATAATTTATAAAATAATTATCTTGTATAATACTTACAAAAATTGCAATATATCATACAGTATATAATTAAATATAATTAAATTTAATTAAGTTTACATCATTATTACTGTAGTAAAAACAAAGTTCAAACTAATTTCATAATACTGTATTCACGATCACTAATTAACGATAGGACAGTTATTCGCACTATACTAATAAGTTTTAAATGCATTGCGATCTTTATAATGAAAAAAGTATTAGAAATATTCCGGAAATTCTTTATAAATTGGAATAATTTTTGGTACAAAAAGCAAAATCCTAATTATATTATATATTGGTGCTTGAATAATCAAATCGATCCATAATTCAATTAATCATCGGTCATTGTTATCTTCTCGGTAAGTGGATAAAAAAAAGGCATTGGAATGGTACGTGAAATCCTCAGAAAATTGACTTCCCGAAGGAACAGCCAATATCGGTTTATTGTTATGGATATAGTATCGAGAGAGATAAGTAGACATTTGAATCTTTTACAAGATTCATGGAAAACGGATTTTCTAAAGGTGCATTTTGATTGGTCTTTACTTATCTAGAAGAAATCGGAATCGAGAAGAAAACATTAGAATGGTTTATGAAATTGCCAACGAGGATTGTCTTTTTGGACAACTGCAAGTTGCTTTTTGTTACAATAGAGAATTAGGTATTGAAAGGGATTAAAAGGAAGCATTCAACTATATATGAAATGCGCAGAAAAAGGACAACCTGAAGGACATGTCATTTGTTATCGTATTGGAAGCTGGGTCATGCAAAATGATAAGGAAGAAAAGTATGCAAAATTGAGTTCATTGCATAAAAATTTTCACTATATCTCGCAAATAAGTTGGAAAGAGAAATTAAGAATATTACGTATCATATATTATTCATTTCCTTATTCTAATAATATTATACACAAAAATTTACATAGTAGAAATATATTACAATCACAGCATCAGATATTTGCTTTTGGAATAATAATGTCTGAAATTTTACTGGATATTTAGCATACACGATATTCAGTATACACGATATTCAGTATACATGATATTCAATATACATGATATTCCATATGATTTTAATCTGGCATTAAAAATCTGTGAAGGTCAGAGACCTAAACTTAAATGTAAAATACCGCAATTACTCTTAGATTTAATGGATAAATGCATAGATGCTAAATCTCAATACAGACCAAATTAGTAGACATACTGTACTAAAGCAATTTCGAGGAGGTATAGAAAATAATGAAACTAAATTATTTAAGTAAGTCGAAGTAATTGAAAAGATTCATCATATGAATTAGATGAATATGATTCATATGGTTAGCATTAGGTGAATGCAATTCCTAGGATTAGATAAATACTGTTCATATGATTTAGATAAACACGACAACTCATATGGTTTTGAAGATTAGACGAAGATAACGATTCATATGATTTAGATAAATACATAGATATACAATTCCTATTATTTAAATGAATTAAACTATGAGTGTCGTCAAGGGATCAGGCTTTCAATTATATTTTGTGTCTAAAACTTTGATCGAAAATATAAAAAATTTCCATCGAATTCGATGCAGTGGTTGTTGAGATATCTTCGATCAAAGTTTTAGACACAAAATATGATTGAAAGCCCGATGACAGATTTCTCTTGACGACACTCATATGATGCATATTATTCAGATGATTATGATATCTCTATCATTGCCGGAAATGCTAACAAGCTATTTACACAAGTCTACTTTTGATTTCAAAACCTTTCTGGTACAGGAGCGACCGTCGATGTTACACGACTGACTTTTCACCCGGTGTGCAACATATAAAAAAACTATTTTACAA